TGCCCCACTGTCCTGCCCCGGCGCTCTCTCAGGTGCAGCCGCAGGAGTCCACGATCATGTCGGGGATGTCGGTCTTGACGATGTTGCTGTCGCGGTCGTAGTAGAGCAGGGAGAGGGGCCGGCGCTGGGTGGGCACGCAGCAGGAGTCCACGGCGGCCGCCGCGCTGGCGGCCTTGATGCGGTTGAGGACGGCGGTGTGGAAGGAGGAGGCCAGGCCGGGGATCCCGGCCACGTGCAGCGGGCACAGCCCCGCGCAGTAGTTCATGTGGTACCCCTCGGGCTGGATGATCCAGTCCTCCCAGCCGATCTCCTTGAAGTCCACGAAGAATTCCTGGCGGCAGCACATCCGCGAGTCCGCGCCGCAGTCGATGCCGCGCCGGTGGACGCGGTGGGGCGTCCTGGCCCGGGCTTGGGCCACCACGAACGGCCGGTGGGAATCCCTGTGGTCAGCCAGGAGGGGCGACCCCCCGTCCCCTGGCAGCTCCAGCTCCACCGTGAGCCGCGGGCTCTCCCGTCCGGAGAGGCTCCTCACGGCGGGTCCCACGTCCAGCGAGGCCCAGCCGGGTGTCGGCACCTCCAGCCGTGTCTCGACGGCCACCGTCGTGTTTGTCCCCGCCGGGTCCGGCCGCAGCAGCCTGACGGTGACAGGCTGTGCCCCGGGGCTGGGGGCTGCCCAGAACAGGTAGAGGGTGGCCTGCAGGATCTCCGTGCTCCTGGCCAGCTCCTGCGAGAAGCGGAAATGCAGGTGGACTCCGCGGGAGGTGGAGGATCCTGCGTGCAGAACCGAGAGCAGGGTCAGCAGTGAAGGGCTAGAGGGGACTCCCTGCCACGGGCAGGAGCACCTTCCACTACACCAGGTTGATCCGAGCCCCGTTCAACCTGGCCTGAAAAAGTTCCAGGGATGGGACAGTCACAGCTTTTCTGGGAAATCTATTTCGGGGCCTCACCACTCACATGGAGAGGAATTTCTCCCAATATCCCGTTTAACCCCGCGCTCTGGCAGTGGGAAGGGTTCTCCCTTGTCCTGGCACTCCAGGTCCTTGTCCAAAGTCCCTTTCCAGCACTCCTGGAGCCCCTTTAGGCACTGGAAAGGGCTCTCAGGTCTCCCCAAAGCCTTCCCTTTTGCCTTGGCTGCAGAGCTGCTGCTCCTCCTGGCCGGGAAGGGCTGACAGGGCCGTGACAGCCCTCGGGGCTCCTGGCACAGCAATGCCCGTGAGGACACAACCCCCTCCCCGTGCTCCCAGCCTGGGTTCATCCCCCGGCTCGGTTCCAGCTGACGCTCCACCAGGCCAGGAGACAACCCCGTTGTCCTGGAGTGTGGGAACACAATGTGCCCTGGAGCAGCTTTGTTCCCTCAGGGCCTCGAGGACACGGGGCCAGCGAGGGGAGCGGAGCCCCCCCACCTCAGGGCACCCAATTTGGGCTGGGAAAGGGAGGGTGCAGGGTGATCTGTGGGTGGGGTGGTGAGTCTGTCCCTCCCAGGAGAGACAGGATACAGGAGAAGTGGGATACAGGGCCCTGTTTTTCCAGGGATGCTTCTCAGGCCCCCTGAGCGTGTTTTGGGGAGCTCAGTTCAGGAGAAGCGAATTCTGGAGTGAAATTGGGACAGGCCCCTCTGGGTGGGATGCAGAGGCACAGGGGGGTGCAGGGAGTGGATGGGTTGTGCAGCCCTGAGCCCACACACTGTGGGTTGATGGGGAATTGGGGCTCAAAATCCCATTTTGTAAATCCTGTCCTTCTAACCCTTCCAGCTCCAGCACCGGGGGGGAAACGGGCAGCAGGTGACACGATCTGTGCCTCTGTGCCCTGTGCCACCCTCCCACCCCAGCACGCCCGGGAGCGGCAGGGCCGGGACTTCCTTGGGATGTGGATGCAAAGGTTTGGAATGTGGAGCCTCTCCCTCCTTCCAGCAGCAGCGTGACCACCATCCCGCGTGCACCTCCCACTGCCTTCCCACGGCGCGACCCCCCCCCTTCCCTCCGCGCCCCCTCGGGCACACACCTGACTCGGCAAAGCTCAGGATCTCGTACTCCTGCAGCCCCGGCCCGGGACGCGAGTGGGGGACGGGGCCGTCCCGGAGCATCCCGGGGAGCGCGGCCATGTCCGAGCGCTGCCCCCGCAGCCTGCGGAGCGCGGCCAGCAGAGCCCCCCGGGCCGGGGGTTGGGGGGCTCCGGGCCGGGCCGGCAAGCGCAGCTTGGCCAGGATGCTCTGCTTGGCCAGTGCCAGGAGCGCATCCCGCTGCGTGCCGGGGGCCAGCGCGGCCACCCCGCAGGCCGGGCACCGCTCGCCCCTGGCAGCCGCCGTCCGCAGGAGGCTCAGGAGCAGCAGAACCACCGGGACCGTCATCTCCGCTGGCGGGAGGCGGCGGCGCGGGGTGTCCCAGCGGTCGCGTTCGAGAACCGGGACGGGACGGCGGCGGGGCCGGAGCAGGGAGCGAGGATGGGCTCGTTCTCCTGACGTGGCCACAAATATTGGCTGATCCCGGGCGAGATAAACGCCCCTGCGCTCCCGCGGAGCCGCCCGGGCGGGCGGTGCTGCCGCTCGGGGGTCTCGGCCCGGGGCTGCCCTGGGGGAGCGCGGGGCACGGAGGCCACGCCGGACCCGCCCCGGGGGTGCCAAGGGGTGGGTGGGCAGTGGGAACCCCTGGAGGGGGGGGATCACTGCGGCATGTGGGATCCCCGCTGGCGGGGGGCATCTCTGAAGGTGGGGGGATCCTGAGGGAAGGGGGATCCCGGGGGGATGGAGGACCCCGGGGGATGTGGGATCCTGGGGAACGAGGGATCCCTGCGGGTCCTGGGTGGTTAGGGAAGCCTGGAGATGGGAGATCACTGGGAAGAGGGGATCCCTCGGAAATAGGAGCTCCCTGGAGGATGGGGGATCCCGAGGGGATGGAGAACCCCGGGGCAATGGGGGGGCTGCTGGGAGATGGGGGACTCCCCCGAGATGGGGCATTCCTGGGAGATGTGGGATCCTGTGGGATTGAGGATCCCGGGGCATGGGGGATCCCGGGGGATGGGGGATCCCGCGGGGATGTGGGATCCGGGAGGATGAAGGGTCCCTGCGGACGGAAGATCCCAGAGGGATTTGGGACCCCCGGGTGGGGGGTGTCACCCCCGCTGGGTGATGGGCGGAGCCCGAGCCCCTCTTAGCCCCGCCCCGGCCCCGCCCCTTTCCCCAAAAAGGCTCCTTCCCGCCAGGGGGCGCCCCCGTCCCCCCCGCGCTTCCCGCGTCCCTGCGGTTGCCGCGGCAACGGCGGGAAGTCGGTGGCGGCGCCGGTCGCGCGACGATGACGCGGTTGGCGCGGTGACGCAGCGCGCACGCCGCGGGGGAGGCACCGCCTCCTTCTTTTTTCCCCCCTTTTTTTTTTTTCCCGTTTCTTTCCCCGTTTTTTTCCCCCGTTCCGGCCGCCCCTTCCCCCCCGCCCCCCTTCCCTGCCCCCGCCCCCCCTCCCCGTCCTGTCCCTCCCTCCTCCGCCGCCCCGCCCGGGCGGCCCGCGCTGGCCCAGGCCCGGCCCGGCCCGGGGTGGCGGCCCCGCGGCGCAGGGCCCGGCTCGGCCCGGTAAGTGCGGCGGGG